TTTACTTGCGTGGAAATAGAGGTTATCAGAGTCCATCAAACAGTCCAAGTCATACACAGATAAGACAGTCAGTCATCAATGCCTTTCAGTTAAGGGATAATCCAAATAACATAGTCCATTATCGTATAATCAGTTCAAAAAGTAAAGTTTGCTAGCAGTTGCAAAACTTACAATAGCTCACGGCACTCAGATCAGATCAGCCCAGCATCTAACGAACAGAGAGCTAACAGTTGGTCTGGCTCCCTCTTATGGCCGATTGAGGAAAAACAGCAACCAATCACATTTTACAGCATGATTTAAAGAAACAGGTACAACATGATTTATATATTGCCAACCCAACCGTTAGATTATATTCCTAACATTGAATGACTCAACATGTTTACACACCTTTGTGTAGTTGGGATTAATGAATATAAATAAAATTTACAGATGATGGCTCATTTGGATGAACCAGAAAAACTGCTTTATTTTCCAGAATAAATGCTGGCTGGGGGATTCTGAGAGTTGGTCCACATGTTTTACACTTGCCAAAGTTGGGAAACACGACTCCAAGCCATAATGTAATTGCTTTACTTTTCAGTATTGCATGTTCTATCTGTGTTCCCAGCCAATTGCTATTCCAACCAGGGTTTAGCAGAATATATTTGCAGGATTCCAGTCTGTAAGCCAGTATTATCCCAGAGCTCCCTATTAGAAGAGTAATGGGAAATTCTGGTTTAAATGAGAGGTTTGAAGCTGGCCTGTAAAGGGAAGTGTGATAGATGGATGACATGTTTCCACTGCTTCTTCATGGCTTGCTGAACAACAGTTTAGCAAGGAAGACCCATCAGATTTGAAATAGCCCATTACTTTTTAGTGAGGCTTATTTCTAAATAGCCTTACAAATTGGCAGAATCTAGCAGATAAGGACAGAATTTGGAAACATAAGAAGAGCAGATCAGATTAGTACCTGGATATACAGTACCACAATAAGTTGGAAAATAAATAAAAAAATCCTGCCATATTCTTCTAAGAAAAAAAAGCATGTAGACATTGAGTAGAATTTAATGACACTGTAACCATCATAAATATATATGAACTTGTTGCCCAGCATCTGAATTTTGATCATGCGACCATGGGGATGCTGCAACAGTTGTAAGTGTGGAAAATAGTCATTAGGTATTTTTTAAAGTGTCCATGTAACTTTGAATGTTCACTAAATGAATAGCGACAAGTTGAGGACGAGATGAGATTTCAAAGCTTCTTTAGATTTTGAATATACTGCTGTGGCCTCTCGGCCGCAGCCGAATCAGAGGAGGAGGCATGGCAGACAGGTCGGCATCAAGGCAACCTGAGAGCTCCAAGGGGGAAGAGCAGTGGTGGGTTACGACCAGTATGCCCTGGTACAGGCGTACCGGTGCCTACCGGGAGCACCAGGTACGGTTCTGGTACAGTGCTCTGGAGGGCCCACCTGCCCACCCTCACTCCTTACCAGTATTTGAAGTTTTCGGGACTTCCGTGCAGGCGCACAGAGCGCACGATGCCTGCGCAATGCTCTACCAAGCAGTTGGAGCATCACAGAGCATCATGGGTGGTAAGTAGGCATGCATGCGTTCATGTGGTGGGCGCCCAGCCCTGTTGCACCGTACCAATTGCACCAGGATCTGGAACCCACCACTGGGGAAGAGGGAGTGGAGCTGGCAGAGAGAGAGAGACAGAGGCGGAGCCTGGGCCAGTCCATCAGATGGAGAGTCAACAATCCCCAGATCTGGAGGTGGCTAATGAGGAAGAGGATGAACAGCTGAGTCCAGTGCCTGACATGCGGATGTGCACAAGGCAGAGGAGAGGAGAGCAGTGGAAATATATGGGCCGATCCTGGGGACAGAAGAGGCACCGCTGCTAATGAAGCCCCACCCTAGCTCTGGGGGATAAAAGGCAGGGGGCAGCGATGAATAGATGTGGCAGACAAGTATTCATCTTCTAGCTGGCCGGACTTGTTAGCCTGCGTTGAGAGAGAAACTTTTTGCCGGGGCTGCCGGCATTCCTAATTAAACAAATCTTTTGAGTTCACTTTAGGGGGTTTGTTGAGTTTGGGGAGCTGGGTCTGAACATATACTTGAGAATCTAAGGATGTCCTAGAGCAGTGTCTCTCAATCTCAGCAACTTTAAGATGCATGGATTTCAACTCCCAGTATTTTTCTTCCATAAAAACATATTTAATCCCCTTGGTCGACTTGCAACACATCGCAACCCAGAATAGTTGAAGTCCACACAGCTTCACGTTGCTGAGATTGTGAAAGTCTTCTAGAGATTCATACAGAAAACCACAAATACGCAAATCATATTGTGTCACTATTACAGACGCAAAAGCCAATCAGCCTGTTAATTAACACCCTAACGCTTGACACTGAAGAATTTAAGATTTCATTTATTAGGCTATGGAGCCACGATGGGGCTAACTGCTTTTCATTAGGAGGGGGCTTTCTTAATTGACCCTCATTAGCCGCTGAAATTACTTTCCAAACCTGGTCAAAGAAGGAGAGTTTTCTTTTCTTTTCTTTTTTTTAACTCTCTGGCACGCATAAACTTGCTAATTAGGAAAAGGTTTGCCGTTTGATCATTTACCCCCGTTCCCCCCCCCCTCCATCAAAGGAATCTTGTTGAAAAACATTTTTAATTGTTATCTAATTGGGCCACTTCCAATGCTTTCATGTGAATGGTGGGATAGTACATCATCAAGATGAGATTCCGTGAAGTTTGGGATTATTTATTTATTTTCCTGTCAAAGAGACAACCTTGATCTATTACAGAAAGCCCTCCACTTACATCCACAATTGAGACCAGGATTTTGGTCATAAGTCTTTGCGGTCATAAGCTGGGTCCCTATTTGACCAGACTTGATTTTACAACTATTTTGATGATCGTCATTAAGTGAGCCCTGTGGTTGGTAAGCAAATCGCATGGACATAAGTCCGAATTCAGCTTACCCAATGGGTAGTTTTTGCCATGTGAGTGTGGGATGTTGCATCCCTTTATAAATGCAAGCTGATTGCCAAGTGCCCGAAATCTGGTCACATGATCATGAAAGTAGTATGGCCAGTGATGGGATTCATTTTTTTTTTACTAAAAGTTCTGTGGGCATGGCTTGGTGGGCGTGGCAGGAGAAGGATACTGCAAAATCTCCATTTCCTCCCAATCAGCTGGGACTCAGGAGGCAGAGAATAGATGGGGGCGGGGCCAGCCAGAGGTGGTATTTACCAATTCTCCAAACTACTCAAAATTTCCACTACCAGTTCTCCAGAACTGGTCAGAACCTACTAAATATCACCTCTGGGTGTGGCAGTTGTAACTTTGAGGCTGGGTCATAAGTAAATGTCGTAATTTCAAATAGTTGTTAAGACACTGGTCATAAGTCAAGGATTACCTATAGAGATTTAATTTGATTGAAATTTTACCTGCAACGTTTCTTAGTCCAATTCTATGCATTTCAGAAGTAGTTTAGTTTAGCTGATCTGTGCATGACTTTCTCTCATGTATGTTGGGAAAAATGCCCCAAATCAAGGTTATTTGCAAATGAGTTTGTAGAAATAGTTTCTTGGCATTTCCCCTTGCAACGGTCAAGTAGCTTACAAGGTGGAGGATCCATTGGGAGGAGGTGGCAAAAGGTAAGGGGGGGGGGGAAATTTCACAGCCAGATGATGCAGCTGTGTGGATAATCCCTTGGGGAACAAATTACAATATTTACTTTTGTTTGACTTAATGGCACCCCAAAGCTTGATCTGAACACATCATCAGGGGATCTAAGCGTAGAAATGAGCAGTGTCTAAATACAGGTAGTCCTCAACTTATGACCGCAATTGAGCCCAAATTGTTGTTAAATGAGTTTTGCCCCATCTTACAACATTTCTTGCCATAATTATTAAGTGAAACATGGCAGTTGTTAAGTTAATAACACGGTTGTTAAGTGAATCTGGTTTCCCCATAGACTTTGCTTGTCAGAAGATCGCAAAAGGGGATCACATGACCCTGGGACACAGCAACCATCGTAAATATGAACCAATTGCCAAGCCTCTGGATTTTGATCACATGACCATGGGGTGGCTGCAAAAGTTGCAACTGTGAAAAATGATCCTAGGTCCCTTTTTCCAGTGCTCTTATAACTTTGATCACTAAATGAATTGTTGTTAAGTCGAGGACTCCCTGTGTTCTTCCCTTGCAGAGCTTTTCCAAAGTGCAAAAAAAGAAAAAGAAAAAGAAAAAGACAGAATAACGGAGAGGGAGAGTTGCCATTTTCCGGATAAAATATGGGTTTTGTACACGTTTTCATTTGCTTAAAGAATGAAACAAAATGGTTGTTTTTAGATCTATCCCTTGTGATGCTGAACTTCAACAACTCATGCACCAGATCGACATAATGGTAAACAAGAAGAAACTGGAATGGGAAAAGAAAATGCAGGGATTGGAAGCAAGAATGACTATCCGGAATGAAGAGTTAGCAAGTGCCCAGAGCAAATTAGATCAGAAAGGCCAAGAGGTAATGTCGCATTGTTTATTTTGTGACTATTGCATTGAATGGGTGGGTCTGCATCAGGGGTGGGTTGGTCAGCGAACCCGGAAGTAAGTAACTTCCGGGAACGGCGAAGGGCCCACCCGCCCGCCCGCGTTCCTTACCCCGTTTTGATGAGTTCTGCGCTTCCACGCATGCGGAGGACGCATACAGCGCCTGCGCGATCCTCCAGGAGCAACTGGAGCATCGCACAGACGCTAGTACGCATGAGTGCACGAGGATGGCGCCGGCCCCATTCCAACCGAACCGGTTGGAACGGGGCGAGAAACCCACCCCTGGTCTGCAATCATTTGCCTTAGATGTTTTCATACAAGATGAACAGAGGCCAGCCTGATTAGTTGCAGGATAGAAGTCCAGAGCAAGTCCCAGGCTTGTAGAAGAAGTAGATTGGGTAACCATTTTGCCTTGTTGTTGCCAAGGAAACAACATGGACCAGGAGTGTCAAATTGGCAGCCCGCGGGTCAGATGTGTCATGCACAGGCCATGCCCACCCCAGCTCCATGAAGGGAAAGGCGCCATGGGATATGTCACAGCAACATGACACGACAGGTTTGACACTCGTGACATAGACAATACATAGTACATAGAAGAAGATCTTAATTCATGAGGGACGTTCTCTTTTTGATACTTCACCCCCGTCGCTATCTTATGCCCAGTAATTTTATCTATGCTGAAATCTACATCTTAGCCTTGTTATGCAGAAAATATGACTTCAGCAATAGAGTGATCAATGCCTGGAATGTTCTACCTGACTCCATTGTTACTTCCTCAAACCCCCACAGCTTCAACCTCAAACTGTCTACCGTGGACCTCGCCCCATTCCTAAGAGGCCTGTTGGGGGGCGTGGATAAGCACATCAGTGTGCCTATCCTCCCTATCCTCCTGTTCCAGTGGTGGATTCCAGATCCTGGGACAACCGGTACGGTGCAACGGGGCCCAGCATCCACCACATGAATGTGTGCAGCATGCATGCACGCACATGCAGCATGCGCATGCATACGTACCGCCTGCGATGCTCCATAACGCTTCCGCGATGCTCCAGCTACTCGGTGGAGCATCGTGCAGGCGCTGTACGCTCCGTACGCATGCGCGGAAGCCCCAAAGAGTTCAAATACAGGTAAAGAGAGAGGGCAGGCGGGTGGGCCCTCCAGAGCACCGTAGCGGAATGGTACCCGGTGCTCCCGGCAGGCACCGGTACACCCGTACCGGGGCGAACCGGTCGTAACCCACCACTGTCCTGTTCCCTTTTATTTGTATTCATTTCATGTGCTCATGTCCATGTTTATACTTATACCTGTTATCTCGTACATGTTTGACAAACTAAATTAATAATAATAAATAAATAATAATATACTCCATAATCTCGGGAGTGTTTAGTAGGGGTGGGGAACTATGACCTTTAAAGGAGAAGGTTTGTAGCTCAAGGTTGGAATCAGCTTGCTTGTTCTCTTGCAGATGTTTCATTACCCCACGCTAGTGCTTTTCCGCTGATGACTAGCACTGGCAGACTAGACCAGCACTGATGATCTTACCTAGCTTGGTTCAGGCAGGAAACCATATACCATTTCAGACAAGTGGTTGTCCCATCTCTTCTTAAAAACTTGGATTGGATTGGATTTATTATATTTATATGCCGCCCTTTTCCCCGAAGGGGACTCAGGGCGGCTCACAATTCAGTCAGGGAAGGGGGTACAGACAGGGGATAAAAA